GAGATACTAGTAATATGTTACTGCCGTGAATACTCCACATCATAGCAACCAAATCTTCAGCTGGAAAAACGCTGTGCCACCAAAGAGTTCTCAAGCGCCACCAGCTAGCCGTTTTCAGAAGAGCACCTGGCTAAAAATGCTTTGATAGACACGTTCATTTGAATATTTATTGTTAGGCATATGGCTCTTTTTTTATTTTTTTTATTTTTGCATTTATGAAATATACTGGAGCCAAACCTGAAAAGGGAGTCCAGAATATTCCACTGTGTTCCTAAACACGTAATTTACGTAGCTGTGTATTTCATAGGCGGGGGTTATGTTCATATTTTCTTAGCGATAGATGCTATTTACACTAAGTGCAAATAGCAGCATTTTTTAGTGATATGTTATTTACACTGAGTGCAAATAGCTTTAGATTCTATTTACACTATGTTAAAATAGCAGGATCTTTCTGCTATTTATACTAATTATTGCAAATAGTGGCAATTATCTGCACCTCAGTATTGTAGTACATTATAAAACAGTATGCAGCAACTTATTGAGTTTAAATTTTAATTTTAATTCAAATTATTAAATGGATGCCACCTTATTGGGACAATAAATCCCTCCCTACGCCTACCCTAACCATACCTGATACTTTATTTTCAACTTTTTGATTATTTCCTTCATTTTCATTGAAAATAAATGCTTTTCTGATGTGATTTGAAATTTGAAAAGGGAGAAAAAAGTTTGCCAAAAGGCGGATTCGAACCCGCGTCAAAAGGAGTATGACAGCCGCTTTACCATCTATGCCACTGAATCTGGCGATTGATGACTGTCTTTCGTCATGTTGACCAGCCGAATCACACGTTGGTGGGCGGAGTTAGTGTAAATAGCCTCTGCCAACAAGGCGGGCTATTTGCACTTAGTGAAATATACACTCCGTTATGTCATCAAATCTGATGTTTTCGAAGCGTTTGTGAATCTGGAGGAGAGTTTTCGGGAAGGTCTGTTTTACGGGCAGATTACTTTGAATTTACTCACATATTTACACAAGTTTCATGAGTCTCTATGTTATTATTCTGTTAATATACAAAAATACTGAGGTGCAAATAGTATCTGCCAATATAAAGTACAGATGGCATAATTACTATTTACACATATTGCAAAGATTGCTGCTGGTCCAGGAAAGCATTGTTGCAATAATGTGATGTAAATCCTGTATGATCGAGGATGCGATCATAGGCTGTAACCTGTGAGTGTAGGCTAAATCCTGTATAAGCTAGAGGTATTTCCAACAATTAGTACCCTATAATTTAAAACCTTAATTGTGCGCGTGCGTGCGTGTATGTGTGTGTGCGTGTGTGGATGTGGGGGGCCCGACAAGACATTGTGACCAGGGGCCTCTGAATTCCTAACCCGGGCCTGATTATATTAATTCAGAATACTGTGCTAAAGGACATCAATATCGATTGTAAATTTACATAAACATTTTTTGCAGAGACAGATATTCACATGGGTTTATTGTACAGGGAGGGAGGGAGCTAGAGCAGACAGCAACACAAAAATAGTATGAGTCACAGCCTAATAATTTAATAGTGTGTTCAGTAGACTATTAGAATGTTTCAACAAATATATTGTACTCATTTTGACATTTAGGCACTTTAGAACATGTTTCAATACACTACCAGTCAAAAGGTTTTGATCAGTAAGATTTGTAACGTTTTTAAAGAAGTCTCTTCTGCTCACCAAGCCAGTATTTATTTGATCCAAAATACAGCAAAAACAGCAATATTGTGAAATATGTTTAGTATTTAAAACGACTGCTTTCTATTTGAATATATTTTAAGATGTAATTTATTCCTGTGATTTCAAAGCTGAATTTTCAGCATCATATCTCCAGTCTTCAGTGTCACATGATCCTTCAGAAATCATTCTAATATACTGATTTGCTGCTCAAAAACATTTATTATTATTATTATGTTGAAAACAGCTTCGATTTTTTTCAGGTTTCTTTGATGAATGGAAAGTTCTGAAGAACTAATCTGTGAATGTGAGATTGGTATGCATTCACAGAATTATCAATTTCTGTTATTTTGCATATTGTTGGTCCTATCCTATCACGTTCATGATATTATTATAATTTTAAAGCCTTTTTTTACAGACAGTCTGCTTGATAAACAATTCTAGTACGTACAACGGAGACAACTGTTTAAAAAAATACAACAAAAGTTATGTTTCTTAAAAGCTCAAAGACCAATAACACCAAATCTTTGCACATTTGAACTTCATTCCACCAGTACAGCCAGGTTAATCAACTGCTCATCGTTACAAGTAGAAAATGTTACTCTAAATGCACTGGAACACCCAAAATGCTTCACAAAACCATGCTAATCTGTCAGATAGACTTTTCCTAAACATTGTTGCAAACTGCATTCATTTGGATGTGGTTATATTCTGCACAAATGTCCCTCTTCACCTGCAAAAAAATGTTGCAATGCTATCTTCATAACAAGCACAAGCATGTAGGCCCGTGCCTGACTTCCAGTGTCAACCACAGTGATTATAGTGTAAAGAATGAACACAAAGAATGTGCTTAAAGGAACAGCTTACCCAAAATTCTTTATTTACTCACCCTCATGGCATTCTGTGAAACCCAAAAAGGGATGTTAGGCAGAACGACAGTCTATGAAAGCGAATGGTGACTGAGACTGTTATTCTGCCTAACATCTCCTTTTCTGTTCCTCAGAAGAAAGTCATTATGAGGGAGAGAAAATAATGACAGGAGTTTCACTTGAAGATATTTCGCTTGGCTACTCTGTTGTCCCCATTTTACTACTCTTGAGTCATACATACCAAGCATTTCTCTCCCATAAAAATCCACCACTAAAGAGCAAAGTCCAGCTATTAGAAATGTTTCACAGCACAAATATATCCGGTGTCACAATATAATCAAATCTTTAGCATGGCACATAATAAACAGCATAAAGGCGGTCTGTTGTTTGCTTGCGTAAAAAACATAGGCTACGTAAAAAAAATTAAAAAAAAGAAATTAACATGTATTTGTTAGGCTATCTGTTATGATAACAAATGTTATCAGTATTGCAGAGACATTACTTTTACGTGAAAACTTTGTCGAGGATAAGTGCTCTTAGTGTATGAGTGGGTTTCTTTAACTTTTGTCACTTTTTTGTTTTGACGGCATTGTTTCGAGTGAATGAGCGCAATATTAACAAGTTGAGGGAGTGTTTACACAAGGAGTGTCTGAGCAAGACACTCTACAAAACTAAAGATTGTAGCCCAGTTAGTCTGTTTGGCTAACTAGACTGCTTTATGACCATTTAAGTACAATAACATAACGCCATGAACGAAAGTGAGGCGCTCAAAGCGAAATCTTGTTGTTAAGGAAAATGAAGCGGGTCTTTTTTATCCAAACGTAGCCTACCTCAAACCGTAACCTGCACCCTTCTTGCTGTCAAAGTGTCGCTGTAACTTTCTGACGAGAAGTTGTCACTGTCTGCTTAGTTTGAAAACGTTTGTCTTCATGTCGTAGTTTCTTTCCATCCAGCGGTCGTTCCGGATTCGAGTCTAGGCGCGCGGCTCTCCACGCCTACCTGCGCCGGGCCACGCCAACCACGCCAACCGCGCCTCTATACTACACCGCTGTAAACATGTAGGACAAATGCCCAGGCATGAGGTAGAGTCATTTACAATAGCATGGCAATATAATAATGTTGGTAATTAGCTCAGTTTGCAAAAATGTTTCTTTCTCGGTCTTTGAACCAGTAAAACGCCGTATCTCTCCGCTCTTCTGCGTGTTGCAGCTTGATGCGCCTCCAGCGACGGATTCTGCAGGAATTCATGTCAGGTCAACCCAACCACAGCGCATAATAACACATCTGCTGGGATCTTCAAATACATTTGCATTTCTATTTCTTGGATAACATATGTCTTTGGCATGGGAATAAAGATTTGCGTCTTTTTATATAACTGGAAGCACAATACAAAACCGTTAAACAGTTCAATACAGACAGAAGAGAGAGTTGAGAAATGTGTGGTAGCCTCAGGGATTCTCAATCTCAAACCTGTCCTGGAGGACCACTCGCCCTGCACATTGTGTATGTCTCCTTTATCTAACACACCCAGTTCATGTCTTGCAGTCTCTTACGGGCTGATGAGTTGAATCAGGTGTGTTAGATCAGGGAGACATACAAAATGTGCAGGGCTAGGGGTCCCCCAGGACAGTGGCCTATGTTATGTGTCATACCAGAAACTTTAAGTCATATTATGTGATAACGTCACAGGAGCTGCTGAAACAGTTCTACTCCGCCATCATTGAATCTGTCCTCTGCACTTCAATAACTGTCTGGTTCAGCTCAGCTACCAAATCTGACCTCAGAAGACTTCAGAGGGTAGTCCGGACTGCTGAGCGAATCATTGGTACAACCCTCCCTTCTCTCCAAGAACTGTACTCGTCCAGAGTGAGCAAAAGGGCTGGCAGAATCACTCTGGACCCCTCACATCCAGCACACTCCCTCTTTGAACTGTTGCCATCTGGTCGACGCTACAGAGCTCTGAGCATTGAGAATTGTCGATTTGTATATATATTTTTATTGCTTGTTTTACTTGTTCTATTTTTTATTTATTTTTATTTTTTATTATCTGTGTTTTTTTTTTTGTTCTGTCACTGTCATTCTGTTACACTGTGGAAGCTTCTGTCACGAGAACAAATTCCTCGTATGTTTGAAACGTACCTGGCAATAAAGCTCATTCTGATTCTGATTCTGATTCTAACCTTGCACTTAGTGTATGTTATAAGAGTGTTTCTTCAAATATGGGCACTTTTGGCCCTGTTTGCTTTTGAGTATTAACAATGCCAATACATGCATCACAGGAGTATGCTTGCTGTCCTGTACTTTTGTGCTTTTTTGGCGAACATCATCAACATTTCCACCAAAACGTAATTTACACCGCCCTGATTTCGATCACAAAACGCTGTATAACACAATAAATCATTTATAAATAATTTTATAATTTTGTGTTTTGTGATCGAAATCACAGCGGTGTAAATTACGTTTTAAACATTTGACAACTGCATTTAAAATAATTATAGCATGATTGGGAATTATCTCACAGAATCTCTCTGACACTGGTGTCTGTTTGGTAAAAGAAAAAAGTACACTTTTTAGTACAACTGTCAAAGGGGGAAAAAATATGTTGGTTGTGATGTAAAAAACTTGAGACAACTGAGGGATTAATTATATTTTGGTATTGTTTGGATGAACATTTTAAGATTAAAATGTATTTTAATCTTAATATTTTCAGATTAAAATGTACATAAAAGACAAATGGCAAGTAAAAAAATAATAAAGGCATAGAAAAAGATTTCCAAGTTTTAAAGCGACTTTCATAATGCAGCAAGAAAAAAAAGCTAAAACCTGTTTAATAAACATCAACTCAAATATAAAAGTGCCTGAAGTTGAAAAACACATGTATATAGATGCATGACCGAGATATCAAATACATCATGTAAAAATGTGAAAGAATAAGCTTGACTGCAATTCAACAATTTTACCACATGATGGCGTTAAATTCCAACACTTCATTTTAAGAGCGCCTTTGCCAATTTTGTGTGCAATATTCTTGTTGTTCCATGGGTATGCCCAATATATTTGGCCACATGATGGTTTTAAAGTTCTGTAGCTTTTTTAGAAGTTAAGCTATTTCAAGTTCTTATTGCATTTAGTCTAGCTTGTTTAAAACCTTTTTCTCAGATATGTACAACATTTAATTCTGTTACCTTTAGTAAATACTGGCAGTATTTATGTGGGGCTTATTACATTCGTACATTTTCTACAGTCGCTTTTATGAAAAGAATATGATTTTCATGAATGTTAGAAGCCCGCTCTGAACTGTGAGGTCCTTAAAAAATATAAAGCAGGAAAGCTGTTTTCAACATAGATAATAATAATAAAAATGAATACTTCTTGAGCATCAAATCAGCATATTAGAATTGTTTCTGAAGGATCATTTGACACTGAAGACTGGATTAACGACTGTTAAAAATTCAGCTTTGCCATCACAGGAATAAATTATTCCTAATATTTTTTATATATAAAAATATATATATTTTAATATATTTTAAATATATTAAAATTACAAGGTTGTCTTTTAATCAAATAAATGCAGCCTTGGTGAACATACAGTATATATATAAACATATATCACTACATTTAACAATACACAGTATGTATCTGTGTCTCATTTGGGTCAGAACATGACTACAGGATCCATTCACAGATGTAGACATTACTCTTCTTTAGAATTGCTCATCTCTAAGGGACGCACGCTTTTGTTTCCAGTCACGCCTTCTATTTGCCATCAATGCCCTATTTTACAGGTCTGGAGTGATGAATACTGGTTTTACAAGTGAGAGAAGGAGAGACGGAGAGAAGAGCTACTGTGTATCACCTGCTATTTCTCTAATAATCAGATCCTCAGTTTATGCTCCAAGGCCCACGATGAATACACTTGAAAATATAATCGATTTAGCCAACCAGCTAATACTCTCACATAAGAACGATCTGTTAGACCTCTTACAAGAAACCGCTGAGGAACTGAGTTTTACAACCAGTAAAAGCAAGAGAAGAAACAGGACCTGAGCAATCCTCTAATGGCCATAGACATTCAGCTGGAGTTCACGCAAGTCTTTTTCAGGTCCTCAGGACATTTTGTGAGCTTCACACCCAGAGAGTGTGTGTGCTGAGAGAGGTTCTTTGTGGCACAGCAAACACACTCACTGAGCGTAGGATGTACTCCAATTTGGCACACACCCAGAAACTGAGTCTCAAGAGACGACAGCTGATGTGGGTAAGTGCTTCATGAGAAGCTTGTGATCTTTGTAAAGGAAGGAGCGTTTCCAAAGTGTGTGTGTGTGTGTGTGTGTGTCTTGCTTTGTCTCAAAGCGTTATTGGCATGACTGTGACAGTACTGCCATGCATAGCATTCGTATGTACTTAGTGCATAAAATAGTCTAAATAAAAATATTTTAAAGGTGTATAAATAAAAATGTTTTTAAAAATCCCGGGACTCCCTTAAAATGACAAACTCGAATGTGTTTTTTGTTTTGTTTTGTTAAGAAATGCATTACTTTTAATCTGCAGGATGCATTAAATTGATCAAATATGACAGTAAAGTCTTTTGCAATTTCTGTTTCAAATAAATGCTTTAACTTTTTATTCATAAAAGAAAATCCTGGGGAAAAAATGTATTTGGTTTCCACAAGTATATTAAGCAGCACAACTGTCTGCAACATTGATAATAATAATAAATGTTTCTTGAGGACCAAATCAGTGATTTGATGTGACAGTGAAGACTAGAGTAATAACCACTGAAAATTCAGCTTTGCTATCACAGGATTATTAAAATATTAAAATAGAAAGCAGTTATTTTAAATTGTAATACACAATATTACCTTTTTACTGTATTTTTGATCAAATAAATGCAGCTTTCATGAACAAAAGACTAAGGCTGATGATACACGGGGCAACTTTTTAAGCAATTTTGCCTGGCTACTTTTTTTTGAGCAATGTTGCTTGGGCACTTTCCCATTGAGAATGGGTAATGAATTTCTATCTGGACATTTTAGATCAGTCGTGGACCCTGTGTCTCACCTGGCTGCCCGCTGACGACAACATTGCTCAAAAAGTTGCCCAGTGTATCATCTGCCTTACTAGTGTAGTGTAAAATATTATTGTCATTTTGTTCAATTTTCCAGAAAGAATATCTTTTGGGATAACAGTACACCGCTTCCTTGATCCTTTGGACATGGTAATAATTATATATAGTCATTCTGAATAGTCAGTAACACTTAAAAACAAAGGTCCCATTAGTTAACTTTAGGTAAAAATACTAGCTGTTCATTGTTAGTTCATGTTAGCTCAGGTCCATTAAATAATATTAACAGATACATCTTCTTTTACTTTATTCCTTTCATTTTATTTATACCTTTGCTTTTTATTTTAGCCTATATTGTGCAAAGTAAAGCAATAGATAAACTGTGCAAAAATCTTTCATATGCACACTTTCGCATGGCTTGTCATGATATTTTTGAGTATATTGTGTATTTTTAGACGCTTCCTATGGATCCCACTTTTACCAAGACCATGTGACTGATGGCATTCTTAATGTCCTGGAAGATATCCACGCCATTGTAAACCGGTTCAGTGTAATGAGCAGGAGGCTCGACACTGGTATTGCTTTTCTTACTGAAGTCAGTGGGGAGAGACGTGACCTTACCAGTACTGGATCTCTGGATACTGCAGACCACATAAAACCAGAATCATGTGACATTAGTACACCAACCAGCAACTTGCACACCACCATCTTGAAAATGTACAGTCTATAGGGCTTCCACATGGTCCAGTGAAGCACTGTACAGTGCATATGGATGACCGAAGCACCAGGAAAGAGTGCTCACATGAGGAAGCAAGAGTAGACTCACTCTATACAACTTTGGTGACTGACTTCAAGGAGTGTCTGAACGTGAATAATGAGGAGGGGGAAGAAAAAAAGGGAGAGGAAATACAGAAAAGCAGAGGAGAAGAGGGTCAAAAATTGAAGTTGGTAACTGTTGGGTAAGATTATGTATGTGTATAGGGCAGGTGTGGAGAAATGATGTTTCAAAAATGCTGTTGATCAGTCCAACAACACACAAAAAGCACATTACAGCACCTTCACTTGCT